ACCAGCCGACTTTCTTGAAGGAGTAGGCGTCGTAGGGAGATCCTCCTTGGCGGGGATGAACTTGCGCCAGTCGTCGACCCATTCCCCAGAAACGCGCTTCTTGAATTCGGCAGCGAGCTCCGGGTGCTCACGAGAATATCCCTCAACAAGCTGGTTCCACTCGGTCTCGATCTTCTCGCCGCGGGACACAGCCTGGCGGAAGTAGTCGTAGACCTGGTCCGACACAACAAAGTGCTTCTCGGGGTCCATGCCGAAGGTCTTCTTGATGTTGGCAACATCGGCGGCACCAAACGCGGCACCGTGGGCCTTGGCATCACCAGCAACGGCGCTGCCAACTCCAATGACAGTGTGGATGTTGATGAAAGTAGGCTTGTCCTTGCTGTTGCGAGCCTGGTCCATGGCGCGGACGATAGCCTCAAGGTCCCAGTTGCCGTCCTCAATCTCAATGACGTTCCAGCCACAGGCGCGCATCTTTGTGTTGACATCCTCAGTGTTGCAGAGGTCGACGCTGCCGTCGCAGGTGATTTGGTTGTTGTCGTACATGACGACGAGGTTATTCAGCTTCCAGTGACCGGCAAGCTGGATCGCCTCCATGGCGACACCCTCTTGCAGGCAGGCGTCTCCAATCATGCACCATGTCATGTTGTTGACGACAGGGAAGTTGGGGCGGTTGTAAGTAGCGGCGAGGTGCTTGGTAGCAACAGCCAGGCCAACGGCATTGGCGATGCCCTGGCCCAAGGGACCAGTCGTCACCTCGATACCCTCATGCTCAATCTCGGGGTGGCCGGGGCAGATGGAGTCGGTGCGAGCGGAGTGGTAAGACTTGAGTTGTTCCATTGTCATGTTCTTATAGCCGGTCAAGTGCAAGAAGCTGTACTGGAAAAGACAGGTGTGGCCGTTTGACAGGACGAAACGGTCTCTGTTGAAGTAGTTTGGGTTCTTGGGCGAGTACTTCATGGCGTACTTCCAGAGAGATGTGCCGATGGCTGCCATGCCCATGGCACCGCCCGGGTGACCGCCCTTGAACTGCTCACACAAGTCGGCAATGAGACAGCGGAATGTGCGGAGAACAAAGTCGACCTCCTTCTTCTCGCTCTCGGTGAGCTGGAACTGGCTGTTGGGGCCATTGAGAGACTTGGCGGCCACGATGCTCTGAGCCACGGGCTCGGAGGGAACTGCACTGGGGGCCATTTTGATGTATCGGCGGGTTATTAAGGGATGAGGGTATCTCGGTTTCGGTGTTATGAGGGGTAGTAGCACTGGGTCGTCGGGTTTCTTGTTCGACTGTGCTCGATGTAGTGAACGAAGGGCAATACGTGACGCAATGGTAAGGAGTATGCAAAGAACACTTGGTATCAACGAAGTTCTCTTGCTTGGGAATGAGAGGAAAGTAAGGCAAGAGATGATGGAGTAGCAAAAGTCAGAGACGGAGGGCAACTCATTGCGGCCATTTCGACAGATATAATCGTGGGCAACGGTGCAACTTGAGACCCCTCTGAGTGGTTGAGATGACCATTTTGGGATGGAGAGTGGGAGGGCCAGCAATGCGAAGCAGTGCAGTATCGGGAAAGCAGCGCTTAGGTTTTCCCTTTTCGGGTGGAATTGGACTCGGCAGAAGAACAGCTCCAGCGTCACTTGACGAAGTTGAGGTTTAGTCTGATGAAGTGTGTACTAGACTCTATGTACGGAGTATTACGTGCTCGTTGTGGTTCTTTGGTTAGTAGAAGCGCAATGAGATGCTCCGACGATGGGAAGCTTCCGGAAAAGTTGAGATTGAAACAGACAGTGAGCAATTCCCAATTAGACGTGTCTGTTCCATTTGCTATTACGAGTAAGAAAAGATGGGCAAAATGAACAACCGAAAAACGAAAAGAGCGAAGGGAAGAATGCCGAAGACGGGACTCGGGGCGTAGGAGTGGCCATGCCGCGGTGGCTCTGACGGCAAATGATTGGACGATGCGGTTAAAGTGCGGGTCTTTGAGCTGCCCCGCCATGGCCCGTCCACGACAGTTCCGGAGATTCGAAGCGCCGCGACACTACGTACCTGGCACGTGCCCGGGTAGGTACAAGGGTCTCTTACATAATCGGCTCTGACCACTCACCGTCTCAATCTCCTTCCCCGCCAAAATACCCGCGGATTCGTACCCCTTTCCCCGTCCTCCTCCAGGGCCTCCAGTTTCTCTGGGTTGACGATCCTCGATAGTCTCAAAGTCTGCTAGTATGTATGTGTGGCTCAGTCGTGCCAACAGCTGTCCAAAATTCCACTTAACATGTGGAAGAAGATACAGATAGTTCTTACAATTATTTCGCTAACACAATGCACACTCTACCTGCTCCCCATACCGTCCCTTGGAATTGCTATTTGCCGTTCCATCGCTTCGGCCTTCTTGAACTCTCCCACCTGCGGCCCAAATCGCCTCCTTATCGAAACATTGGGCTCCGGTGGGCCCGATACATCTTGCAAATCTCTTTGGAACTATTCTCGAGGCTTCACATACAACCATAGCCGCCGAAACCTTATCCATGACTCCATCACGATTCACCTCTACCGCAAGCCCCTCAGTCCATTCGAGACCCTGAAATCAAGAGCCATGCCGCAAAGCCAAACTTTCCCATCGTGCCATCCTACTTTTGTTTCCTTTTTCCCTCTACCCCTCCACTCGGACGCTTGCCGACCTCTGCTCCTCCCCCCATGTTCACCCCGCCATCTGCCAATCTGGCGTCCACGTCCCGCCAAGAAGCGCTTCCACTTGCCCTGCCAGCACCCTACCTGTTCCGCCCCTCCAAGTTTGTCACCGCGCGGACTCAATGCCGAACGCCGTCTCAAAGACTTCTCAAGACATAACCACAGTTATCACACAGCACCCAGCCTGGGGCCCCGGCGCAACGGGACCTCCCATGGTCGAGGCTCGGCCGGCATCTCGCAGCTTCACACACTTCACACAACTCCAAGCGACGCCCGTTCCTGTCCTCTCCCGTTCGCCCCGTCCTCCCCGGTTGTCCAGTATCCCTCAAATAACCAACCCGTGACCACAATGTTTCCCGTGTTTCGAGTCTCCTACCACCAGTTCTCTCTGCTCGTACTCACCTTCACTCCATTCAACTTTCAACCTCACACCTGAGTTGTAGTCTTGCCTTCATAGCAACACGCCTATTGTAATACTCTTTCTTCGTCCTCGGTTCACCAAAGATACCCAATCCTCCATTCACAATGTCTCCCGCAGCAGTAAGCGACATGGAACTCCCCACAGAGCCCGTTCACCCCCTTCCCGAAGCAAAGGACCCTCTCGCCTCCTCCGTCGCAACACCTCAACTCTTCTCCCTCGCCAACAAGACCATCGTCATCACCGGCGGCGGCCGCGGCCTGGGCATCACCTTTGCCCTCGCCATTCTCGAAGCCGGAGGCAACGCCGCCTGTCTCGACATCCTCCCGGAGCCCTCACCCATCGAGTGGGCGCACCTCACCAAGCTCGCCACCTCTAAGAACCTTTCCATCACCTACCACAAGTGCGACATCACCGACGAGGAGGCCACGGAAAAGGTCTTTGAGGAGATTGCAGACGCCGCCGACAGCCGCGGTTCTCCCTTCTGGGGCGCCGTCGCCTGCGCTGGCATCCAGCAGAAGATTCCCGCTCTCGAGTACCCCGTCGCCGACTTTGAGCGGATACAAAAGGTGAACGTCGTTGGTGTCTTTGTAACGGCTAAGCATGCCGCCCGTGTGTTGGTGAAGCGCAAGAGCAAGGGTAGCATCTTACTCATCTCGAGCATGTCAGGAGAAATTGCCAACAGAGTGAGTCTTTATCTCCACCTCGACCTTCAAGGTTTGAACATAATTGGGAAAACTGGACTAACAACCCTCGGCAGGGATTGACATGCAGTGCCTACAACACCAGCAAGGCCGCTGTCCAGCAGATGTGCAGGTCTGTCGCCCAGGAATGGGGTCAATATGGTATCCGCGTGAACACTTTGTCGCCTGGTGTAAGTCCCACTCAGCCCCCCATCACCACCGTCCATCACTGACCCATTGACAGTACATCCGAACCGCAATGACCGATCAACTCCTGCAAGCCGAACCTGAAGTCGAAACCACTTGGATGAGAGGAGCTCTCCTCCAACGCCTGGGTACACCCGAGGACTTCAAGGCCCCGGCCGTCTTCCTCCTGTCTGAAGGCAGCTCTTTCATGACCGGCGCAGACCTCCGTGTTGACGGTGGACACTGCGCCTCTGCTTAATCATTTTCTTACCTTGTGGAAAGCATCGATAGTCATGTCTCGGATAAAACGGCGTTGGTCTCACGATATCAGATGGGGTTACGACACTGTCACACTGGAAGCCCTCATTGCAGCTCGCGAAGAATATTCACGCAGCTGAGAGGCAACGCATACTTAGAAGTGTAGAATCAGTACGAATAGAGCGAGCATTAATAGCGACATCATCACTTTACCCGACTTGAAGTCACGGATGTACCAGGCACAAGCTTGATACAAAATTTGTGATGTAAACATGTTATTGCTAATTCACCAAATTAAGGCACTTTTTGAGGATGCACTGAGCTTTTATTGGGTATCAGATGAATACAACCTATGTGTTGCTAATTTAACGCCATGAACGCCCAAGGTAGTTGATAGCAGTCCCTCTCCAGAGGTTTGTGGTTGTTGTTTGTGTTTACTACGATCTCTTTGTCAATCAAGCTCCTTCGGACAAGCATCCTTCCTCGCGCCTTGCTTTTGACTATGATAGCTTAAAGAGATAACCACCCATTCTCGCTCAAGTGCATTTCTCCTCATAGCCTTGGATCTCCGATGTCGTCTTCGGCCTAATTGAGACATGTTGTATATAGGCCTTGTACGTTGAGTGGTGGTGGTGGTGGTGGAGACCCCTGCTGCCCTATTCCATGGAGTGGTGTATCGTTGAGGAAAGACCAAAGACTCCCTGCTCTATCGTACACCGAACTTCCTTGATCTTGATAACTCCCCAGTGACTTGTCAAGTACCGTACTTCTACTGCTTCGGTTGCTTCCTGCAAGTGAGTTTGCCCCCTTCGTTGACCCAAAACGTATCTTTGGGCTCCTTGGAAGCATTAATATCCGTTCCCAACCAGATCTTAGCCTTAACCATCTCATTGTTGTCCTTCTTGCACTCGCAGGTCAAGTACGGACCAGCAGGATACCCATCCTTGGCGAAGAGCGCGGCGTTGACGTTACACATGCTGCAGTGATCTCGAATCTTTTTCTCGTTGAGATTATTCCACCCGAGGGTGCCTTTGACGGGATCGAATATCACGCACTCGTCGACGTTGACGTACGTCGGCTCACCATAGTTGCCGTCTTTGTCTGTGCAGCACGTCTCGAAGAAGAAGTCGCCATTGTAGGGGCCGAATTTTCCCTTGTAGGTGCGGGCTTGGATGCAGCGGCCGCCGAGGAAGTCAACACGCTTCTTGTTGCGATTGGGGAATGTGGCGAGGCGCTTGAGGCAGAGTTCTGGGTTGCCCGAGGGGGGAATAGAGATGTTGGCTGGGGGGCCGCCCTTTGCTGTGACCAGGTTGGTCATGGTGGCGATGGTGAGAATGAGGAGAGATGAGAGCTGCATGGTGATGGTGGTTTGGGTTGTTTGAGTTGTGTGGGTGGTGTTTATAAGGTGAGGTGAGGTGATGTTCTTGATGGGGGTGGTGCGAGGATGAGTAGAGTAGTTTAAGAATCTGATTACCAGTCGAAGAGTTGATGGTGTGTTATGAGATTCTGCAAAGTCTTGGATGAGAGGATGGATTGATTTGGGAATCTGAGGACAGGAGAAGGAGAAAGGCTGTGTTTATATATCTTTCCCGGGGGTACTATGTCACCAACAAGGTTATCGGAGATAGCTTGTGATTTTCTGAAATCTCACACGCATGTATGGTTCGGAGACAACATAGGGCTGTTAAAACTTCATGACACCATCGGGAGTTGAAAGTATAACATGCCGTTCAGATTTCAAGGTACGCCACAACAGGCGGAGAGCAAGGCTTAGATTACACTGGAATGGGCGTTCTGAGGGGGTATCAACATTGCCCTGTACACCACCTGGGACTGAGATCATAGAGTGCGGAGTGGCATCAGGAAATGCTTACACGAGGTTCCGGACTTGTTTTCCTTTTATACTAGAACAAATAATTTTAGAAAGAAGCTGATTTGGAGTAAAGTCCACATGCAGGGACTTTGGTACTGACGCCGTCCCAAACTAGATGGGATGGACTGGGCATAGGCTCACATATACACAACAACACAACCTTCAAAGCTCAGCCGCTTCGAGATCAGAGACAGTTCAAAGATTCAGGACATCCGATTCCTTCCAGTGAAGCGGGTGAGGTCAGGTTGACCCCATCAACAGTGGGTCCCCAATCTCACGATGTCCACGTTGCGGGCTGACCGCAGTGGGGTTTAGGGCTTCATTTCCACAACCCCGACATCAATAACAACTGGTCGGTTAGCTCAGTTGGTTAGAGCGTGGTACTAATATTTCATCAGGAATGTTGAGTAATGCCAAGGCCGAGAGTTCAAGCCTCTCACTGATCAAACATTTTGTTTTTGGCCATGAGGGTGGTTGCCAGTCATACTACTTGCATCGTGGAGGCTCAGGAGCCATGCCTCAAGGTTTTCTTAACGTTTTTGGGACTAGGCGGGTGGCTGTAGGCGCGCAAGATGTTCGGGGTTGCAGGGTTACGAGCAGACAATGTATAAGCCACCTGTAATAGAAGTCTATACAGGTTCGGCGTTTCGACATGGACTCACTACGGTAGTCAAAGTCGACTTCATCCATGGCTGGTAGGTATTGAGCCTTGAAGTTAGTATCACGAACGGGCGGCATTGCACCTGTGGAGATTAATTCTTCTTAGTCCGTCCGGTCGGTTGCTTATTCGTGGCTGAGCTCTCGGCACCCTTCCACCAAGAGACAGCAATGCATGTATCCAACTGTGCGGAACGACGATAGACAATACCTATGGATATCATATCCAACCAACTTGACTCAACGCTATATATGCATATCGCTATCCGTCACTTTGACTTTATTCATGGAGACTCCTAGTTGCCTGGTCGCATGCTCATCGGCGACACAACGTCATGACGATCTTCTTTTCTCGTCGCGTCAAGCTCATAGGTCGGTTTTACGCCATCGAGCTCAACGGTCCGCTCAATTGTTTCCAATTCACTAGGACGTCTCGTGCCCTTGTAAAAGTACTTGGCCGCAGACTTTCCACGTCCCTCTTCCGTAACTCCAGACGGTGTAACTCCTACTATTGTCTTTTGCTTCCTCTTTCTAATGAAGAGGATTACTGCGACGATCAGTGCGGCGCCGGCCACACAGCCGACCGCTGCTCCAACTTTGACTCCAAGTGGAATTCCGGCAGTTTCCTGGCCGTCTGGGCTTGACATGCCCGTTGACTCAGACCGAGTGCCTGTGCTGGATGCTACGCCTGTTGCAGTCCCAGCCAAAGTTACGTGGGATGTAGCCGAAGACAAAGCTGTAGACATTGCTGTAGACAAGGCGGTGGGCGCTGCAGTCAAGGAACAGGATGTCGTCGTAGTGAGAATATGAGCCCAGTAGTAGCTAGGCTGGAGTGTAGAGATGGTTGTTGCCGTGCAGAAATAGTTGGCAGTACCGTTGTCTCGATATACGCCTTTGTAATCTGGCTTGCAACACCATGCGCCAGTATCCGGCTTATCATTGACAGTATCGTTCGCTACCCATATACTCCAAGCCGGATCAGGGCACTGGGTTGTCAGTACGATATTCGTCTCGGTATATCGCACTGGGGAATGGCGCGAGGTACCTTGGGGTGATTATACGCCGAGGAAGAGCAGTCAGTGGAGTCTAACATGGCAAAAAGCGTCAGAGTAGATCGTATGAAGTGAGAGGTATCACGATGTGTTCACGAACCTGGACAACAGTAGTTCCCGTCGTAGCTGCCGTTGCCCGCACACGACAGCCCCGAGGGACAGCACCGAACCTGAAGTCCTCCGGCCTTTCCACATTCAAAAGGGGCATCTTGGGGACATGAAGAGCTGGGAAACCGAAGAGACCAGCCGCCGGCGTAATTGCATTCTTGGGCATAGACCACATGTACGGCAACAAGAAAGGCACTGAGCATAGTCCGGAAAACCGACCGACAAGGACCTTCACCGGGACACACAATCATCATGCTGTTGACCAGAAATCGACTTTAATGCTAGCAGTATGTATAATATGGGAAACCAAGAAGATAGATGGGCTAATTCCGAAGGACGGAAATCGTGGGGACAGCTCTAATATTCAACACGCCGCTGATGGGAAAGCAAGGGATGCGAGCGTCTACGTCTGTGACCACTGACGGGAGTATGAGAGGCAACCCCTCTTATCTTCTAAGTCAGCCCTGCAAAACCGCGACATGGCACACAAACCTCGAATCAATTGGCTTGCATTTGAGATAAATCTACTTTAGCTATGCCAGGACGCCGCAAGTTTCTTATTATGTCCTACCGAGGGCTGGAAAGGGATACCGCTATGTTGTGCATATTGATATCGTCCTGTGAGTGGACAGAGTGTCAGCCACTCCAACAATCCAGCCCTTCGACATGCAAGAGGGACAATGACAACCAGATTTCAGGTCAGAAATTAGCGCAGGCAACGGCCGCTAGAGAACAGTTAGTAGGTGTGGCTTCCCAGGCAGCCGCCACAACATATCCATGTTGTTTGCCTCGAATCAAAGAACAAGACTGACGTGGAGTTTGGGCTCGCAGGGCCTGACTCTGGTTTACCGACTCTTCTTTCTTCAGCATCCCTCCGTAGCGTCACCTTCTGCTTTGGGAATGTCCCATCCCAAATTCTCATTGCCATACGTGTCCATACATTGTATGGGAAATGAGGGCAGCTCGAATCCCCGAGACGCTCATTTGATCCAGCCCTTGTTTTCTCCCGATTGGACATACATACTGCATTTTACGCGGAGGAATCCTACGGTCATATGTGTTATATTGCACCTCTTAATAAAGCAGCTGGTTAGTCGCGAGAATTTGAAATATGAGTTAACACCAGTCGCTTTTGGATACTAGCTAGGCAAAGCCTGAAAGCCATGGCATTATGTTAGAACTAAGACCCGACATTGGTTCAACGCCAATGACCGCATTTATGACGTTCTTAGAGTGTGTCTTTGGTGGATGAGCTTGAAACCTGCAAGTAGTGCTATATAACTGCACGTGTGAAGTCAGGTTCTGAAGGCTCACTCTTGATACCTTTTTTGCTTGATCTGAAAGACTTTCTCTCTGGTGTCTTCGTGTTTCGAAATCTCGGCCGAGTTGCTCAAAGATAGCTAGTAGGTGTCCAATTGACGTCGTGTGTTTTGTTTTTCTCTTCTACTGAGGCACAGACACAGCAAGATTTACACAGGTAGCTACGCTTGATATTCTTCTACTTCTCATACGGACTTCTTATCGTTACACCTATGTCTTGTCGAATAGTTGTCTTTGGGTATTATCAGTTGACATAGCTTAAAGTGGATCGCAATCAACTTTACAGACTGTTGCAAGTATATCACCAATCATTGGCAATAATGCGATTTCGAGCAATTATTCGTCACTAATTTCTCCAGGTACCTTTAGCTTTAACTGACAGTCAGCGTTCGTGCTGGTGATGAGATTTGATCTCCAAAGCCAAAGGGGGCGGCATAATAGAAGAACTCGTGAGACGATTAAGGCTGAGAACACGGCCCAGAGGACTTGGGGGCCGCGGCAAGCTGTTTACTTCAGTAACAAGATGATACTTCCCTGATGAAGAGTTGCAATTTGTAAGGTCAAGTAGCCACTGCATCGTGGTAGGTATTAACAAATAGGTCCATGACTTCAGGCCAGTTTATCATGAGGCATAATACATACTAAGAGGGTTGGGAAGGCGGCCTGGCAGTACGTGGACTACCCGTAACCTAAATGCTCAACGCCGCTTCACGTAGCATATAATCAAAATACTCAGCACTAAAGCTATCCTCAAGGTTTGGTCTATCGACCAAATTGACATGACCAGGCGTTTAGTTGATCCAGAAAACATGCAGAACGTGGGTGTTGCTATTGAGATAAATCGAGAACTTTAACTTGCCTTGCACTAGCTCAGCCACGAGGTAGATAGTGGCGCTGAAGATGTCATTTCCGTAGCCGAAACTTTGCTGTGGCCGGCGGCGCGGTCGCCCGTCAATATTTTGTTAGGGTGAACCATGCAAAATTCTTTCCGACGGCTCGCAACGCATCGCGCCACCCGGTCCTGAGGCCTCTCTTTCAACATCACATGCGAGGAATTGCCTCTCTACATCGAGTAAGATTCCGTTTGAGAACAGCAGAGAAAGTACCATCTCAGCAGCGACTCTGTGCATTCCGATGCGACAAATCAAATTCTGCGATCGTAGCTGCCGCTGAATTTCTGTGTGAAAAGTTCAGCTTTCTGCGCCGCCGGCCACCATCTTATCATGGTTCGCTAGCGACATACGGGAATCAGCGCCTAAACATTTCACATTTAGCAACCAAGACCGGCACCTAGGGGTTGAGCAGCACCCTACTTGGACTCGCCCTGGCTCTAGATAGGGAGATGTCTTGAGTGCGTCTGCTGTCGCTTCTGCCGTTTGGAAGAGATTGGGGAAGCTTGGGAATGTCTGGAGATAAGTGGAAACGAGTTGGTGTGTCGATCGAACGGGGGGAAAGATCCCCCAGCCATGTGAAGCGAGTGGGACCAAGGGTTCCCTTCTCCGAGTCCTTATCTTGGACTGGGTCTGGTGCGGATATTCCAGGCTTTCCAGCCATCATCTTATCAGGAGACGATCCAGCCAAGATGTTATGGTGGCTGCAGGGCAAAAGTTTGGGCTGGAAATGGTTCCGAGCCCCAGGTACCGAAGAAATGGAATGCTAATTAGCACGCCACCTGTTCAAAGTCCAGACAAACAGACAACGATGGCTGGTAGAAGGCAACTGAACGTCCATGATCGAATATTATATAGGAATTCTTGTTCACGAGCATGTAATTGACCTTGGCGTTAATCTCGTGTTCAGTGTGGAAAGAGTCTTCTCCCTTTCCCTCCAGGTCTTGCAGTGTGCCGACCTCGTAACCTTGGTCTGATACTATGGCACTTTGCAAGTGAAAAAGACAGGGAAAAGAGAGTCTAAAGTGAGACGAGCCAGGTGACATGAATAAAAATTCTCTAGTTCATCAAGTTGGTTGTCGGGTATCTTGAGGCTAGGTGAGGCAATCGATATCATGCCGCGAGTCGCACATTTTGGTGGTTGACTCGATGAGATCGAGTAATGGATAACATGCGGGGTTTGGGCGCCATCTATGATAAGCTACCCCTGTTAGAGGAGCTAACTTATCATACATAGCCGCACCGTCCCATGCCGGACAGGCATCATGGTGCGTGGCTGTCGAGCGGGAGCCGTTCCTTGTCGCCGTACTAACGCGGTGCCACCTCCAACGCCCCTGATAAGAACATTTTCTCCTCTGGGACGAACCAATGACATCCGCGGAATGCGTCCAGAGGACCAGAGATTTTACGGTTTCCGGTGCCAGGGCTTCGTCCTGTTACTCGATCAGATTTGACGTCGTTGTCGACTTGGGAGCATTTCAATTTGCTGCAATCACGGCGAGACCGGCAGCACCCTTGTCTGAAAGCGGTTCGTAGCGTGGTCTTGTCTTGCGTTCTTGGGTTTGTCACCCCCGTCCGCATTCCTCTTCCCCAATCGTCTGCTTCTCCATTGCCCAGCGCCAGCGGGATGGAAAGATGGAGGCGACGACCTTGAAGAGCTTGTCACGCTTGTCCCATGTGGGGGTTTGTCGCAGCGATTTCCGGGTCCATCAGTCGATAATCGCTGACACCAAGGTACCGCCGACTCGTTTTCGTGGAACTGACGAGGTCTTTTATCAGCCTCTCCATATCCAGAGCGACACCGGCCCAGCCTGTGAATAAATATCAGTCGACATCTCCTCCATCATCTCGGCCTCACTCCTTCGTCTGAGAGAGATCAGCTGGAGTTTCCCACCCCTCAACCAACGACCAGACTTAACTGCCTGACTGCCTTGGTATCGCCACTACTTTGGGGTGCCATCCTGCAGATCACGACCCGTGTCACCCTGCAGCCCAGTCTTTCGGTTCCTCGTGTCCTCACGTGCATATCGTCATCGCAACGTGGGCCGGTCCGTGTACTGGTGTTTTGCCGGCTCGCCGAATCGAAATCATCCGAAAGTCATCACGATAGTCCGGAACTTTACCTCTCGCCACGCCTTGCCAAAGTTCTTGTCGCCAGAGACATTCGCCAAAATGGATATGGATACCGCAACTACCACCGCTCGGCCGGAAAAGGCTCATAGCTCGAGGCTGGGTTACTTGGCGAACAAGATCGCCGTCAAATCAGAGCCGGGGCTGACCAGCGCTCAGCTGATGGTAAGATATGCCAGCTCAGAACTTCTCGAAGCACCCGGAATGATTCTAACACTCTCAACCTACAGCTGACGAACTATGATCTGAAACCGTGAGTGACTGCTGCACAAAGTGCACACGACGCCTCTTGGAGCGTGGTGACTGACCTCAAGACAGAGTCGAGCCTGAGAGACGGCAATGGGGACCTTGGAACTTCGTCGCCTTCTGGGTCGCTGACTCCTTTAACGTCAACACATGGATGATTTCGTCCTCGATGATCGTGGGGGGTCTTTCTTGGTGGCAGTCTTGGCTCTGCGTCTGGATCGGCTACGCTATTGCTGGATGCTTCATCTGTGCAACTGGTCGCATCGGTGCAGTGTACCACATTGGTTTCCCCGTCGTCAACAGATCGTCCTTCGGAATATGGGGAAGTTTGTGGCCTGTTTTCAACCGTGCCGCCATGGGTAAGCCCGCTGACCTCGTCGCAACAATGAATTTGACTGACCGATTCCCAGCTTGTGTTTGGTACGGTGTCCAAGCCTACATTGGTGGTCACTGCATCTACCTCATGATCCGTTCCATCTGGAAGTCTTGGGTAAGTGGAAATGTCTTCAGGATGCCTGAGAGACTTACAATCTAATTCAAAACAGGACCGAGAAACGATTCCAAACACATTCTCTGCATCCTCTGGCACAACCACCGCGGACTGGGTCTCGTTCTTCCTCTTCTGGGTGCTTTCGTTGCCCGCCATCTGGTTCCCCGTCCACAAGATCCGACACTTGTTCACGGTCAAGTCGTACATCGTCCCGTGCGCTGGAATCGCCTTCATGATCTGGGCCATTGTCCGCGCCGGCGGTATTGGTCCCATCGTTCGTCAACCCGCGAAGCTTCACGGCAGCGATTTGGCTTGGGAATTTGTCAAGGGCGTCATGTCATCCATCGCCAACTTTGCGACCCTTATTGTCAACGACCCCGATTTTTCTCGTTTCTCTAAGAAGCCCAACGATGCTCTCTGGTCCCAGCTTTTCACGATTCCTATCGGCTTCGCCTTCACTTCGTTCATCGGTATCATGGTTTCTTCCTCCTCGGCAGTCATCTATGGCGAGGAGATTTGGGACCCTCTCAAGCTCCTCGAGAGATTCATCGATGACGGCGGTTCCGCTCAGCGGTTTGGCGTGTTCGTCATTGCGTTCGCGTTTGCACTGGCTCAACTCGGTACCAACATCGCCGCCAACTCCGTTTCCGCAGGTACCGATATGACCGCTCTGCTGCCCCGGTACTTGAGCATCCGTCGCGGTGGATACATCTGCGCTGCCGTCGGTCTGGCCATGTGCCCGTACACCCTGCTCACGGACTCCAATAAGTTCACTACGTACCTCTCGGCATACAGCGTCTTCCTGAGCTCCATCGCAGGCGTCATGTGCTCTGACTACTACGTCGTCAGAAAAGGGTACCTTGAGATCAGAGAGCTGTACGATGCGCGTAAGACTGGTCCGTATTACTTTACCTACGGCTTCCACTGGCGCGGGTATGCCGCCTACATCGCCGGAATCTTGCCCAACGTTGTTGGATTCGTCGGTGCGATTGGTGTTGATGTCCCTATCGGCGCGACATACATCTACAACCTCAACTTCTTCGCTGGGTTTCTCGTCTCTGGTGGCGTGTACTGGGGTCTCTGCAAGATCTCTCCTATCCCTGCTACTAGCGACAAGTGGATGGAAGTTGGAGAGGAGATTGATGACATTCGCGTCGCGTATGACGCTGGTAGTAGCCAGGACTACGACGAGGAGAGAGTCCTTGGCCCTTCCAAGGGCATTGAGGATGGGGCAAAGCATGTTTAAAAAGGAGTAAAGGTTTATGAAGCGGTCGGCGGTTTGGGTTTGGATGATACCATTGTTGTGCAAAAGGGATGCAGAATTACGTTTTTTGCTTGAGCATATATGATTGAAGAAATGAATGAATAATCAAATGTTTCTACTAAACTACAAATACTTGGTGATCTGATTGAGACTAACTTGAACCAACGCCCAAATGCCTCACCCCATTGAGTGGCCGACATCTCCCCTTAACTACCGGGTGTAGTTTTTCATCCGCGATAAGATGGAGTATAAAGAGACTTCCTGAAAAAAGTCTCTATCGCACTTGTATCAATAATCGAAGCAGTTGCGTCCCCAAGGTCAGCTGTCTACCTCAACTCAACTTCTTCATTTCAACCTCTGTTGGAAGCAACTTAGACAACAAGGGCGGGAGCTGAGTCTCTCCAGGAATCTCAAATAGGCGCATAGAAGTGACCATATTCCCGAAATGGGACGACGTCGTGATTACAGCGATGGGTACCGCAAGCAAGAGGCCAACGGCTGACGGAATAGCCCATGCAAGCGTGGCAGTGCCTTGAACAGCGAGCAAGATTCCAAAGCCAAGAATGGTCTGCGGCCACAAAACACGGAAGCTATCGCGCCAGCTGAGACCAAGCCGATCGCGGTTTTGCCCGTCCCATGTAATAGACTTGCCTCTAAGCAGGCCGCCCAAGAACACCGCAACGACCATAGCCGTGATCGGGGTGATGAGCGTCATCAGGAACAACTCCATCAGAGTTGATAGGATGCAGCGGAAACTACCACCGTAGCACCTGGAAGACGTTATAACCACTTCAAAGACGCCGGCGAGTTTGGGGAACATGCCGAAGGCAGCGAGAACAAGGTGTAGAGTCCAGCCAAATACGAGGCTCATTTGAACAATCCTTGGTTCTCCCATGACCTCCTTCGCGACGCATGCCAATCTCATCAAAACACAGCAAGCTTGACCGATATACGTGGTCAAGGTCTGATACACCTCAAAGCGGCTGATGGGGTGGATGCCAGGTTCGCTCAGCATAAACCAGTACTGCATTGTCCCCAGGCACCAGCGGAGCTCGCGACATAGGAAGTCGAGAAAGGTAGGCGGATTAGTCTCGTAGCTTTCCGTCTCGATAGGGAGCACCCGGACCTCGTAGCCGCCTCGACGCATGAACATTGCTTCCAGCAGATCGTGACTTGGGATATAACCACCCAGCGGCGGTTTGCCGGGGAGCTTGGGACCATGCAATGCTCGTGGAAGGCCTTGGTGCGAATGATAGCGTTGTGGCCCCAGTACAGGGCCCAGTCGTGAGCCCACCAGCTGAATCCCATGTTGTAGGTCCGCACTCCATGACGCAGGCCGAACTGGTAGAGCCGTGTGAAAGCGCTGACTGCGGGCATTCCGATGACTATGGTCTGCAACAAGCCTATATGAGGGTCTCTTTCCATGCTAGATATCAGACGGCAGAGCCTATCGCCGCTCATGGCGCTATCTGAATTCAGAGTGACGAAGAAGTTGTCTCCTTTGGATTGGTTGTCGAGGTAGTCTTTGAGACTACCAGCCTTGTAACGGGTGTTTCTATCGCGGCGGCGATACATAGGAGTTTTAGCCATGCCCTTGCTCAGATACACGGCATGCTGGGCGAGGGCTTCTTGTTCAGTATGCGCCACGTCCAAGTGATCGGTGTCGCTGAGTAAGACAAAGCGAAAGTGCTTCAGGCAACTAGTCTACTGAAGGCTCTCATGCATGGCGCAAAGCCGGTTGAATACTGGAATTGGGGTTTCGTTGCGCATGAAGATAGCAAGCGCTGTTGTAGACGCGAGCTCCGGCAGACATCCCCGAGGTCGAAAATAGGGGTAAACAGGCTGCTCCGCGTTGCCGTACAGGATAACACGAAGGCCAATTGCAGAGCTCCAGAAGCTGACAATAGGCCAAGGGATGCAGATGGTCCCGCAAAGCAGAATGATGATGTCTAGAAGAGTAAACCTGCTTCGCATGAATATGAGGAAGTTGATACAAAGAAAAGGAAGGATCGTGATGCTGTTGTGTGCAACAACTAACAACCGGCGCTGGGGGATTGACATCCCAGCATCGCTATTCGAGGCCATAACACTCATCTTGAGCCTAAGTCATGCAGAGCAAATCCGATATTCGCGATTTGGAGTCGCACCGATAACGACCCCGAAGGTTGGCAAGCCTTAACTGAGTCCAATACGGAAACTTGGGATTTAGATGTTCGCTCTAAGGGCGTGTAGAGTCCAAAACGGATTCAGGGGTATTTATGGACTCATGGCCGAAGCCTCGTCGGCTTACACATTTGATGAAGTTCGGGAAGGCCAACTTGTTCACTTAGGCTATTTTCATGGCCAACGGTGAAATGAGAAATCGAAGACGACAGTCTAACTCTTCCCGACTGGGGCTCTCGGCGACGCCGAGAGCAAGGACAGCCTCTCCCGGTAGAACCAGGTACAGCTTCTAAGGGTAGAACTTCGGAATATCGGATTCCAGGATATGTTGCCAACAGGTACCGTCTCCGCTCAGGTCCAGCAGCTTTGTTAATAATGATCAAGCTCAAATGACTCGGTTATCTCGGTACGCTGCTTAGAGCAGGTTACTTCGATCAAAAGAATTTGAGAAAACTCAACAAGTCTGGACGACGCTTATCAAAGAGCTGGTGTTCAACAACGCATCAACTCGGAGAGTCTGCCTTCGAGGTATAAGTATTCTGAGTTAATCAACAGAAAAGAACAAAGATATTAACGCCCCGAGGCCATTGTTTCCTTTGCAACGGAGTGGTACAGCATAGAGCATTCATGAAGGCTTAGAACACCAAGATCGGTCAATAAATATTTGGCCAATTTTTTAAGCTTTTTCACCGTATCTTACCTCACGCTTGAAATGAAGATAATAGCCTCTAATCTACTGCTTACTGTCTTTTCCCGGTTTTCATATACCTGTCATCTCGCCCTAAGTCAAGTCCGCCAACTCCTGATTCGCTTTTGAGCCCTAGGAGCACCATTCGGCATCACAAACAGCCCGACTTCGCCGCTTGGAATTTGGGTATTAAGGTTCATATATTACAATTGACTTCCGGCTACCTATTTAGATACTAACTATGCTCCCCACCCTTCCGGTGGAATACCGACAAAGCGCTTGGATCCGTGCACCATTTATACTTATAATATTGGTTTCAATTCTTGCTATGAAGAGGAGATAGACAAGTGAGCCTCAGGTTATTGGCACTTTCGTGCTGCACTGAATCCCAAGCTACTCGGTAATTTTTTGTTCTACAGAGTTGAGCCCTTTAATTCTGGCTCTGCTTCTAATCACTCGTTTTACCTATGAGATGCACTTTCTCAAGGCTATTTACACAGGCAGTGTGGCCGCTGTAGCTACCGCTACATATGCGGGCAACCTTAATTACGGTTCTCCCTCATTCCACCACCCATTCCTCGGGATCTCTATTCGCAAAGTAGCTAGCCGGTCTGAGGGTAGCTCACCATGGGCTCCGGAGCAGCTGAAATTCACACACGGTGTAGCGTCAGGCGACCCGTATGACGACAGCGTCATTCTCTGGGCTCGTGTTGCGCCAACCATGGACAATGACCGTACTAACGTGACCGTTGAGGGCACAGCTCCAATGTACGCTCACGACAACGATGTCTTTGTCAAGGCGAGCAAGTCACCAATCTGCGTCGACTGGAAGATCGGGAGGTCCGCATCCATGGACGGGCAACCGTTTAAGTCGGGGACGGCTTATACGAGTTCGGATGTTGACTTCACCGTCAAGGTTAGTCAATACTTATCGATCATGAAGACACGCAAAATCTCAACTCACTCGCTTACTCCTCCACAGGTAGAGGCGAAAGCTCTCAAGCCATTCACAGTTTACTGTAGGTTCAAGACCATACTTATGCCAGAAGATGTTCCCTAACGCAATGCAGATTACCAATTCAACGTCTGCAATTCCGATATCAAATCCCCCATTGGCAGAACTCAAACATTGCCAGAATCGGGCACCAAAGTCAAACGCGCAATCAAGCTAGCTGTTTATAGTTGTGCCAACTACCGTAAGCCACTAAGTAACCCCCGCGTAACAGGAATACCGTGAGACCATCAAAGCTGATGTGTGTCCATTAGCATTCGGATTCTTTAACGCCTATGGGAATCCCATGCGGAAAGATTCAGTGGACTATATCGTTCACCTCGGCGACTACATCTATGAGTATGGAAATGGCGAGTATCCCGTCGGCGGCTTAGGATGGGGAGACTCCATCGGCCGCATCCCCGAGCCCAACCGATCATGTCACACGTACGTAAAATCTCAGCCTATCTACTGAATATCCGAAACTGATTCGAGGTTTTTAGGCTCTACGACTACCGAAGACGTCTTGCCCAGTACCGCAGCGACCCTGACCTTCTTGCTAGCCACCAAAAGTTTCCCTGGATTACCGTCTGGGATGATCACGAGGTGATGGACAACCCTTACCGAGACGGCTCTGCAGCAATGAACAATACCGAACAGTCCTTCATCAAAGATGACGGCATATCCGTTGAGGCGCGCAAGATGAATGCCGTGCGTGCATACTTTGAGTGGAGTGAGTTCAACTGCCAAGCACCACAGAGTCTGAGAGTCTTCAATACTGATATTCCGTGTTCCAACTGCAAGTGCCCCTCCGCCAGGTCGACATGGACGACAATCTGCGCATCTGGCGAAGCTTCCAGTTCGGTGACCTTTTCAACCTCATCATGCTCGATACCCGCAACTACGACCGCTCTATCACCGATCTATACTGGAACACAGGTTACGTCCATACCATTAGTGACGACACGAGTCGTTCGCTGATGGGCTCCCGCCAGGAGAATTGGTTCTACCGTCAACTCAAGGAATCAGCCTCGACAACGCGGTGGCGTATCGTCGGCAACCAGGTCGTCTTCAGCAAGATGAACCAGAGCATCTCCAACGGACCCAAGAATCCGTTTAACTACGACCAGTGGGACGGTTATACTGCCAACCGAAACCGAACGCTCAAGACTCTCTACGATAATAGAATTGATAACACAGTGTTTTTGGCCGGCGACAGCCACGCATCATGGGTCAGTGACCTTGTCTGGCTTGGCGAAAAAGACTACAATTCAGAGACCGGGGCCGGCTCCATCGGGGTTGAGTTCGCGGGCTCAGCCGTCACCTCACCCTCCTCAGCAGGCCAGAACATCACGCAAGAGAAAGCACTTAATATAAGCGCTTGGATGACAGCTGCGAATCCAGAGCTGCAGTGGCAAGAGTACTACTACCGCGGCTACTTTGAGTTGACCATCGACTACGATGCAGTTCACGCCACCTTCTTTGGTCTGCCCACATATACCACAAGAAATGGTCTCGAAATTGCGCTGGCAAATTTCACAGTCCTTGCCGGGGAGAACAGGCTCCGGCGCCCTGTGGGTGGAGGTAGCGTGGAATTTGGGAATCTGAAGGGCGGAGTTACGAAGCAGACCAACTTGACCAACGACACTAACACCGGAAAATGGTTTGTGTTTGAGGGTTTAAAGGCGGGCGGGGAAGACGAGTCTTAATAGACATTCAAAAGCTCCTGAATTAGCGGAGTGATGCTCAGCGCAAATTCAGATAGGTAGGTATTCTGCAAATCTGCATATATGGTGATGAGTTCGAAGACACCAGCCCTCTAGTGCCGCTGACGCCATAGGTAGTAGTTATCGAGCAGGCGTACAGACTACAGCCCATCATACTACCTCTAAGAGCCTCAGTCACCTTGAAAGATAGTGCTATCAAGACATCGACTGTGTCTCAAGTTCCCTATCTACAACTGTAGGACAGATCATCTCCTCTGCTGGTTTCTAGATTTCTAGAGTTGAGGAGATACTCCGCAGTACAATCCAGAATATGGAGCCTCTCACTGTCGCGCCTACTTGTAGGTACAAATCCTTAGTGTAGACTATGATATTCAACCATAGCCTACGCCTACTTTACGAATACTAATACAGCGAAGTATTTGGACTGGCTTATTGCACTCTGTGATAGGGAATGGTTCGCCTTTCCTGGCAATCGTTTGAATTCGTTTTGTCTATATGATTCTCCGCAAAAGAAAATGGATATAATTCGCATGCTAGTGATTGACAGAGTTCTACATTTTGAGCGATTGCTCGGCCAAGTCAATTAATGTTTCATGGTCCAGCGAGCGCCTGCAACGGCCTCTGACTTAACTCTAGGGAGTTAAGGAAGCTTTCCAAAGTCTTCTCGATGCCGCCGCGCTTGAAATTGAACTTGTAACGGTCCCCATTCTCCGGCGCATAATCGACCCCGTGTACACCTTCTTGTAGCGCCAGCCATGTGGCTAACAGTGCGCCTTCCACTTTCCAAACGTTTTCTTCCTCGGCGGTATCGGACAGTGGATTATCGTAACCCTGGACCCTGGTCATGCCCCTGGGCTATGAAAGCTTTGGTGTATCGCTCCCACCAATCTGTGTAAGCGTTGAACCATGCCCCGGGATATCTCTCTTCCTGTCGGATTGGAAGTCCAATTCGACCTCGAGGCAAGGGGCCCGCGCAGGGGCCACTTACAGACCGTACTTATGAGGTCCACGGTCTGCCCAACCTACGGTTGGAACCTCCCTTTTACACCTTACGCAGAAGTTAAATATATATCCATTTTGACCTCTTCGTCACCCACGGTTCGAACCAATCCCTGTGATAGGAATACCAACACTTCCAAATCGTTGTCGTCGATATTATCGCCGCCTTCTGGGTTCCAGGACCACCCGTAGGTGTACCACATGAAATTAGTTCCGTAGTCCGGCCAAATGTAGTACTTATGTCCTGGTATTGAAGGGCCATACTCCGGTTGAGGTTCTGGTTGTTCATCCAACTCAGATTTTGGTCGGTCTTCTGACTCCAAGGGGTCTTCTTGATGTACTTGTAGCGGAGACGTCTCTGCTAACGGCCCATGGACGGAATCATCCTCCCCTATTTTAGACAGGGTTTCAGAAATGGCCTGAGTGACTGGAAGTTGGGGCTCCGCGTCTGCCGCAGGGGTGGGGGGCAATGAGAGTGGCTCCTCCCCCTTCGCCAGGCGAACTTGAAGGGAGTCGCCTGACAGTTCAAGAACAAGGCCGTATGGGGTGGTGATAGAAAAGTGAACGTCAAGATTAGAGGGTTCGGTAAGGGCTAGTAATGCCTTGATAGATTTGATTGAAGAAACCATTGAAAGGTGGAGGTTGTGAACGATGGCGGATTGTTTGCGCACCCAACTGACCGAGGGATGGTGGCTGTATTAATAGTTCTATACCATCGGGGCTGAGGTCGTGTTTCACTGTGGTAAATGAGGCGTAATTGCTGACCGGCAATTACAGACTCGTTCTTGTACGACATTCACTTTTTCCATTTACGAAGTACATGGGGTCAAAGACTAAGGGCCCGACCAACAGACCTAACCAACAATCTCTCCCAAGGCCCTAAAACAGCTGCGGAGGCAGGTTTTAATGTACTTAGTGCCTGTGTATGTAGCATGCTTTTACCGGATTTACCTGCTGTCAGAAGCAGCACTAAAAGAAGACTTCACTAATCTCCCGTTCCGTCGCCGGAGTTTGCTGCGGCATTCGATCCCAAACTAATTCCGTGAAAATTCAATGCACCTTACCTGCCTTAGATTGCAGATTAGTATGTTGACGACTCTGAACCAAAGGCTGGGTTACAATTCCTAAGTTGGGATCTGTGAAGAACGTGTATGGAAGGGGGGACCCTCTCTTTTGGCATGTTCTCCTACTAACTGTAAGCGCTGGCACCTCTCAGTGCAAGTAGACATGTAGCCTGACCGTAAGGATCTACTTTGAGCAACATAGCGCTATTCCGTCGGTGGCTGGTGCTCGTCATGGGTTTCGGGCATTTCATCGTACGTAGGCGCTGGGAGTACTTCCTAAACCCATGGGCCCTAAACCCAGCCTCTAAGCGCTTAGGAATGCCTAAAAATGTAATCCAGCCTCTAGAACAGTTAAGGGCTCAAATTTGTCGTTGCTTCGGTCTGTTGCCTTCGTCTTCTTTCAATCACCCCTACAAGTGGAAAAAGTGACATATCGAGCATGAAGAACAATGCTAACTCTGTCACCTGTGGGCTCTGCTGCAAGGCGCTCTGAGCACAACCAGGGGCGGCCTCAGCAACCGATTCTCGCAATAATACTAATATGTGAAGTATCTCTCGATCAAATCAGTCAGTTGCTCAAGCTATTCAACATCTCATTTCCTAAAAACTTCTTCAAGTCATCAATTCTTTAAACGTCTCCGTTCAGCTACATAAAAGCCTTACTGGTACTTGCCGAACATGCCCACTTTGAAATCCAGTTTTCTTTTACCACACCCTATGGCGTTGTTGTCGAGCTCTCAGGCGACTCTCTCGAAGTTCGCTTGAATACGGACAAGAAGCCACTCCCTGCCAACATAACATCGGAAGTAGAGCCAGAACTATCAGCCGTCAAGGCCATATCCGAACCCCTATCTCAAACGGAGGAGCAGGATTCAGTCAATGAGCTGCACACACCACATATTGAGCTTCAACTCCCAGTTACATCTGAGCCTTCGCCGCCGACGGAGGAGCAACATCCGACCGAGCAGCTACAGACAGAGTCAACATTGTTGCAAACCCATGAAGAGAGTCATCTAAAGCCAGACATCCAGCCGGAATCTCTACCGGAGTATGGGCCTCCTTTACCAGGATTCAAATACTGCATCTCTGAGGAGTTTGGAACTAATTTCATATGGTACGTCTGGAAATGGCCCGGAATTCTGCGGTGCACTTGTCGAAGACGACGACTTAGAAGAGAGATACTCCAAGACATGTTACGAGGCTTACGACGATTGGATCGATCGTTAAACGGAAGCTTACAAAGACCATATGGAAGTGTGCTCCAATAATCCGGTATTCGACACTGTCAAGGACTTGAACCTCTGGGGATTTGAGGGCACGCTTTTGGCGGCCCTGCAGGATGGCGTTCACGGGGTGAGTTACGGGACAGAAACGAGTGACGGCTCGTACACTCATCAATACGAATTCGAACGCGAGGGCACCGAAAGCCTTGGAAAGACTCTGGAACGCTATATTGAAACGAGGATATTTGGTCAAAATCTAGATATTGGGGCATGATGTATTGACTAGGTACACCGTGATTGCTTCACTCACAATACCGTAAGGTAATCCAGAAGAAATGTAGGATTATTTCAGTCATCATCCGCTCAGAAATAGATAAAACCGAATAGTGTTACTAGCTTTTCAGACAATATTGATTATCAAGTTGAACAGACGCAAGGAAACTTGACTCTAAGAAACGTGACGTGACCCAATGTTGGTCAATGTGTAAACTCCCTCCCCCCATGATATCCACAAAACCCACTGAAGAATCCAAACTAGAAGACATCAACTCCAGCTTCAGTGTGCAACCTCGGACCCGAGCCGCCTAAATCCCAGGCGTCCCCATCTCTCCTTAGCCGGAGACAACAGGTCTCTCGTCTTCGACGCCTGCACCTCAGTCTCAGGCTTGCCGAGATCCCACTTGATCGCCTCGGGCCACACAAGGCTCGTCTCCTTCTTTTCATCCGCTGCCGACCAATTCTCAATGGAAGGCACGTTGAGCTTACCGTATCCTCTCATTCTCTCGAGGATCTCACTCGTGTTTCTCACGTCACCGCGGGTGGCCCAGCCACATCGTCGCATGCCATCGAGATGCATGTCGGCCGCGGCACGGAGACGCTCATCCTTATCCGCGCCATGGCTTGCGGACAGGTGCTCGTCGAGGTCACATACAACATCCAGATGCACGCGCCCAGCATCGCGAAGACGCTTGGCGTGGCGAAGGAGGTAGGCTAGGCGGTTCGAGAAGTAGAATGCGGAAGAATCCAAGCCACCACGGGACTGGCGAACATTGTAGTAGATTGTTTCGCAAAGGATGATGGCTTGGTCTAGATGACCCGCAAGTTCGTGCGCGTTGACCAAGAGGGAGCCGATCGTGAGAACAATATCGGGAGACCATACGCCGCAGTTGCGCTGGACCTCTCTGGATCGCCAAAGCGAGGTAAGAAGGCTCTGCAGAGGAATCATTAGTACAGAGTACAAAACAATTGATCACTATAGAGTATATGAAACTTACCTCTAGTTCTGCCCAGTTCTTCTGCTCGCCAAGTAGACGTACGAGACCGGAGATGTCCTCAAATCGAAGGCTAGTAAACTCGACCTTGTCGTCCCTCAGAATTGCCAGGACATGTTGCAGGACATTTCGGCTCGTGGCAAGCAGTCCATCCTTTTGTTGTTGACCGGCAGACTTCCACGTATCTACGCGAATGCCAGCCAGGACTTCGGCGAGACGGAACCCCCAAACGTGGCAGTTGCGCTGGTGATAGAACCGTTGAGATTGTGCAAAGTCAAATGCACATTGTGCGACATCCTGAGCTCTGGCAAAGTTCTTCTCCTCGACCATGAGTCTTCTGACAGAAGTGTATGCGGCCTTGCAGGACACGAGACCAAAGTCGACGGTGCCTCTATCCGCAATGCCGCCACCAATTTCGTTGAGGAGCGCGACGTAGAAGGCGAATCTGGCGTTTTTCTCGTCTGGAGAGTTTGTCGGCTTGAAGTAACGGGATGTGAACAAGGCAAAGAGCTTCTTGTCAAGGACGTCTACGAACCCACCGCGACCGCGGGATTGCCAAATAAAGCGAAGGCGAGCTGCCGGCTCAATGATTGTCTCGATTCTCGTGGAGTCGGTGAAGGTGACCATGATAGACATGTACTGTTCGTAGAGAACCGTCTCCAGGAGCACATCTGCCATCAGCTCAGAGAAGCTGTATCGTATCTTGGCATCTCCGTTGAGAGCCTGCTCGAAGGAAATCAAGAATACAAGGTACACCTTGCTCGATTGGCCTGAGATCTTGATGTTGACGTCCTTTTCTCCGCCTTCGAACCCAGGGAAAAGAAGCAGGTATCGCAGTTGTCGGAGAAGATCTTGGCCATAGTGAACCATGCCGGCAGACAGGTAGATGGAAGCCAGAGTCTTGGCTGCCGCATGAAGATTCATAGATATCTTAACGGTAGTGATGATCTCAATAATAGAGACCTGTAGGAGCTGGGCAATTGATGAGTGGGCTTCCTTGGAATCAATCTTCTTGGACAACAAGACAACTTCCTTAAGTTTGGAAAGCGTCTTCTCATGCCACCAACCGAACTCAATCTTGAGCTGTGCGTAGATCTCAAGACTGACTCCGATCGCACGGTCAATTGTGCTGGTAGTTGTCACCTTGTTTGTTGTGATAACGGTCACGTAAAGCTTCGACAGACGCTTCTTGATCGTCCTGACCGTGGTCTCTGAGACAACATTGGTGGTCGTAGTCTTCTTAATGACCTCCTCATAAATGGTAATGGACTCGTGGTAGTGCTCCTCGGAGCTCTCGCACAGCTGGGCCTGAGCGATCAAAGCCTTGATGACGATGGCAGCAGTGGCGCCAAAGACCTTAGTCGCGGTCTCGCGATACTCAATCGTGAGCTTGTAGCGGACCGAGAACTCGACCTTGGCGTGGAACTCCAGGACGTAGCGGTACCGCTCGTAAATGAGCTCGACAATCTCCTGGGTGAACTTGATCTCACGATTGTGATGGACAAAGGTGGTCCAGAGGGTGACACAAATCTTCTGCAGCTCGGCCCAACGCTTTTCAGCGTGGTAGTGGTTGAGGACAATGATGGCTGCATCCAGTGCACTTCCGTGGCAGCACCCGTCCTTGGAGAAGATGGTGACAATTTCGCCGTAGCAATCGTAAGCCTCCCTGCGGCCAAGCTTGTGGTAGACGGCAGCAAGCTTGTAGAGAATGCTGACCTGTAGGCTGTGGCCAGAAGAAAGATGTCTGCGGTAGTGTTGCAGGAGCTTGACGTAGATATCAATGACCTTTTCGTGGCGGTGGAAGTCTTCGTAGAACTGAACCAGGGCCTCAGCTGCCTCAAAGATCAACACGTTGTCGGCCTTGAGAGTCGCGAAACAGGCGTTGTAGATGCGGAGGTAAATCGCATCCGCCTTCTCGAACTGTCTCTGGCGATGATAGCACAGAGCAAGTCGCTGCGCAATAAGAATGCGCTCCGAGATGAACTCGCCCTCGATGGTCAACTTGGAATCGACTGACAAGATGCCCTTCCAAGTGATTTCAAGAGACTGACGAATCACGACCTCGGCTTCAGCCCAGTTCTCAAGCTTGAGGTAAAGGTTGACCATAGCTAAGCAAGACTTGAAGAAGTTCTTGTCGGCCTTACGACCCCGGCAGCGCTGGTAATTGGTCTCCCAAATCTCTCTAGTGACGGTCTCAATGACGGTCGTCGTGGTCTTGGTCTCGACGTAAGTCTCGGTGATCTCCTCGACAACCTCCGTGATTATTGTCGTAGTAGATTGAGCCTCTTCGCTCTCGACAGTCTTTCTTTCCTTGAACCATCCCCAAACCTTCTTGAGAATGGAAATGGACACGTTGAGGATGCCGAAAGACTTCGCAAGAACACCAAGTTCTCTGAGGCGGATCATGATGATCTCAGACTCGAAAGACTGGTTCTCGTACTCGGTCCAAACGCATATCATGATGTTGCAGGCCTCCTCTGTTCGCTTGACGCGCTTGAGGAAGTGGATGTACTCAATGGCAATGTTGATCTTCTGAATGTGAAGCTCCGTGGTCACCTTGGTGGTGCGGCAGACCTCGAGGATACCCCGCCAGAGACTGATGTACAGCCTTTCGGCTTGAATCACATGGCCCTTGGACTCGTACTCAAGAGCAAGGCTGATGAGAATCTTGATGCGACGAACATCGGTGAACGACAAGTCGTCCGCAGTGTCGAACAAGAGCGAGTGCCACTGTCCATGGTTGTGAGCCTTCTTGCCGCTAGCATTTATAACAACGGTCATGCCGGAGATGGCTTCGGCAATTGATCCCTCCTTCTTAGAACCCTTTCCAAAACGGGCGGTAATGATAATGTGAAGCTCGCTGTAGATGGACATCGCAAGCTCCTCTTCTTTAATGTCGATGTAGAGCTTGGCAAGAGCCTCATACCACTTGATGACGGCATCACTACGGCCTCCCTGCTTGCTCTTGGAGATCTCAATCATGAACTTGATCATCTCCTCACGGTGAGTGACCGTCTGAGTTCTCTTGGTGAAAGTGAGAGTCTCGGTGCATGTGAGAAACAGGTTCGTGCATGAGACCACGAGCGGGCTGAATTTGTAGAGGATGGTCTGCCCAAGATGAGATGCCTTGTAAAAGAACTCGGCCGCGAAAGCATGCTCAGACTGACTCCGGTGAAGGCTTCCGAGGATGATGAGACTTTGAAGGTATGATCGGTTCTTCTCGCCGAAGCAAGTGGACCGAATGCGGAGACTCAAGCTGTGCATCTCAATAGTCTCCTTGATGGCGTACTGTGTCTGCCAGTAGTGCCACTCCAGCATGGTAAAAAATATTGAGTCGGGGAAAACATCCTTGAACTCGGAAGTCAGGGTAATGGTGCCGTTCTGGCCGCTTAGGGATGATGAACGGAAATGGGCAACCCAGTGGCGGACCATATAGCTGACGATGTGGTGCGCTTGGAAGCACTCATGGAAGGTCTCCTCGGCGACCGGCTCCATTGACGGCTCACAAGTATGACTAATAAACTTCGTCTTGGCAAAGAGAAGAAGAGCCATGGTAAGGTGGCGATGGGAGTCGTGAAGAGACATAAGAGTCGAGCCGCAAAGGCTCTGAACGTACTTCCTGATGGTGGAGTGCTTGAAGCGCAGGGTGCCGTGGCGAACCACTACAAGACCCTGAGTGTTGCGGACAGGGCCCATGACATCAGCACCGGGGGAAACGGTGCGAGTCGATAATGAGACTCCGAGAAGGTCGGTCATCTCACCGAGTGTCAGCGGACGCTGGGCGGTGACCATGAAGGTGAAGAGGTTGTATGTCTTGCTCTCGCCGTACTCTTCCTTGAGGTTGACCTTCTTCATCAGCTCTCCGATGACGGCCTTAACGTCGGATCTGCAGCCAGCGATGACACTTCTGAAGACTCCAAAGTCTGAGACTGCGAAGAAAAGTCTTCTGGCGAGGTAGGCAAACAGGAACGAACCCTTTGCCTGTTCCGCAACCTGGCAGATCAAGTCTCTTCTCGCCTGTTCGCTCTGTGCCACAAAACAGCAGCTTCGCCCAAGTCTGTTGGCGAGGTAAAGCTCAATGTCGTCCCGAACGTGGTCGGGTGTGACAACCACGTGCTTGCAGCCGCTGCCGCCAAGGTGAGAGATTGGCCGTGAGAATGTTACTGCTTGGGTCCTAGGAAGCTTCCCAATGCTAGTGTGGAGACGCTTGTGAAGTTCTCCCGCCTTGGTGGCGCCTCCCGAGACCTCATCGAGACCGTCGATGATGATGCTAAGATTGACCTTCTTGCTGTTGATTGAAGCTAAGCTCGAGTCAAGGGCCTCCCATAGGTCCTTCTCCAGCTTTGCGCTATTGTGATACGGGGACAGATGGTCGAATATGGCTTCGAGCCTCTCAAAGAGAGCGACGTCACCAACGTTAATCTCTAGGAGCTGGGACAAGAGGCTCTTAAGGAAGGCAATGGGAGTTGTTTCGGAGGGAATGTCGGTCGCTGGGGTCCAACCATTAGCTTTTGCATCGCACATGGAGACACCGAGAGAACTTACAAAATGTGTGGGAGATAGTCTCATACTGGACACGATTGATCGGGCTTTGTAGCTCCTCCCGCACCCATGCGGCAAGCATACTTTTGCCACAACCCTCTCCACCAGTAACGGTGAAGATCTTGTCATCACTGCTGAGGAAGTCATGCAAGTCGTGCGAAAGCCACTTGCATGTCCCATCAACACGCAGCTTGCGATCGGCGACACGTCCATACACATGAGACTTGACCGATTCCTGTGTGGGAAGGAGGTGACGACGAAGCGTGGTGATGTCTAGCCGGCGGTTCTTGGAACCGAGCCTGTACTGCCACATGTGATTGAAGAGGCTCTCTCGCTGTTTCAGAATCCTGGTAATCTGCGAGCCGAATTGAGCGTCAAAGTCAATCGTCACCGAGCCGCTATAGATGCTGTTGATCCGGGAGCGGTAGTAGATGGCAACGTCGCCGACAAGCTTGAGCATGCTATCGAAGATGCGACTCAGCTCGTAGCGAATTGCATCACTCGCAGCGAACATGCCGTTGAGTCTGATGGCGTGACTCAGCAATAAGCCAAGCTCATTCAGAGCGTTGAAGGTTGGCTCCAGTGCCTGTGCCTGATCGTGTCCGAGCTAAGTAGGGTAGTGTCAGTGTCGGTGCCGTAGCTGGGATGTAAGACTGATAGGGTTACCTTAAGCAACAGGTAGCAAGTAGCCAACGCTGTGTCGCGCACAAGCGAGCAACCCTCGATGAAGGACTGAATGTGGCGCGAGTATTCGTCAAGCTGAAGACCAAAGAACTCGGCCGACTTCAGCACGCGATCCCACTGGCTGCCCCTGGGTGGCATGTGTGTCAGGCGCTCATCGGAGATGTATGCCAGGTAAGCGTTGAGATCAATGGTCTGGAAGTGATTGTGAGTGACTTCATCGACCTCGCGAACGAGCTTCTTCTGGATACGTCTGGCTGTGTCAATGACACGCACGACGCGGTAAGACATATGTCCGTCGTTGGAGGCGACCATTGTCAACGCGTCCAAGCTGATAGACGACGACCTTGAAGCGTCGCTGACGTTAAGTTCGTCAGTGTTTACGACGCTGGACTCCTGCTTGATGGAGTTCCGGGTCATGGAGCCCTGGTTTGAGGTCGCGTAGACGGACATCTTTGTGTCTGCTACTGTTGGCACGTCGTCGATGGACTGGCTGTCTGAGCTGAGAGACAGGATGGATGAGGAGTTCGAGGGCTTCCTGCGACCTGTTTGAAGGAGTACACTTCAGTTGGGATTCTTTATAGGACAGAATTTACCATGGAAAGAGGGGAGAGTAACACACTCAATGGGTTTCTGCGGAATCCAAGCATTCTCAGATGGACGATCCTGATCTTTTCTCAATTCAATGGGGATGATGCTTCACCTTTTAAGCAGCTTGGATTCCTTCTCTTACACCAACATGGATGGGCCAACGGGTACTTTTACAAGGGCTGAAGATCATGTTGCTCGTTTAAGACACGGGCGTCTCCAGCTCGACCAAGAGTGGTCTAAGTGATTTAACGCAATTCCCTCGAGATGCTCGCATCGCAAACTGGTATCGATTGCATGGTAAAGTTCACCCCGGCCTGCCCATTGAGCTTCGTTCAAATAACCAATGAGATGTTGCGCAAGAAAGATGTGTCCCAAGACAGTCAAGTCCGCGCTGAAGGAGGGGGAACGAAATGTTTGATAATCCGAATCATGTCTTGAGGAACGGACAACCCCTCTTCCCGGACGGATGGTATGTGTAAGTAGCAAGAGCTTTAGAAATGCATACTAATGTGTGAATAGCTGTGCGGTGTAAACATTTTCACCTTTGTGGCTGGCTGACCTCGATGACGGGTGCTCAAAATGGCATTCCCCGCATACAGAAGTGAGCGACGTTGGTCGATGAGACCGTTCAAAACGGGACTTCTATCTCACGGGTTGTCGGTTCCTCTAGCTCTCAGAGCAGTATAAACTTTGCAGGACTAATCCACGAGCGGACGATGTTTAGAGTCATCTCCGCAAACTCATGAAAGATCGCGTTCATTGGCAGACAAGGAAGCTGTGCACCTGCGGGTGATTTGACTATTGAATCTCTGTGCCGGAGGGTTGGAATGCCCGGCGAGAGCTGAACTGTGTTGATATGTGATGGTTCTCAAAACGGAAATGTGGCGCTTTCACGGCCGACTGAAGCGGACTTGCCGGATGTGATGCTAGCCCGAGCTGGAAATCCGGGGAGCGTGTCTCTGCCGGTGTTCCACACGCAGGGCGGAAGAGCATCGCTGGGTGAGACTAGATCTACAGGTATGGTCAACGATTGGTTCCCCTTGACTACGGTGGCTTAACTACCGAACCGAGGGACATGAAAGCATCCTTAAGTGTTGGAATTCGCGGTTGCAGAATCACAAGGTGTCAGAAGGTTCCGCGGTCTTGGAATCAATCGAGTCTTGGTCTTGACGATCATGTTCGCACAGCGAACTCGGGTGGGATAGAAATGCGACTACCATGAGTTTGTTTCATTGAATGATGAGGAATCTACACTAACAGGGTTGTCTCATTTCGAGGTCTCGTAAACTCATGTCATTTATTGTACAAGGAACATTTTGCTTGTTAACTTGCCCCAAGGCTTCTGTGGAACACCAACGTCCAGGTGATCATGTGAGGGCTAACTTCAGAGGGGTTCGCGTCTTCCACGGTTGCAATCCCACCCACGTCTCTGTCCTAGCTTGGCATGCCGCTTAGATGCTGTGCCCTACGTCGCGTCCGACATCCTCATGGAAGCCCATTCCGTTACGGATCCGACTCTCGACCTCGACGACGCGCTTAGGAAGCATGAAACCTAATCCGAAGAAGACGAAGAACGCCCACTTCCAGCGGAAGGGGTTGAAGGTGACACTGAAGGCGAACCACCAGAGGAGCTCAAGGTAAGTGAAGAAGTCGAAGGCACCGGTAGGCGAAGCAGATTTCAAGAGCTTGGTCATCTCGATCCAGGCCTTCATCCAGAAGGGATGTGGTCTTGTCAATGGGTCGATGAGGAACATTAGAAGAATTCTGGTGTAGATGCCAATGTGCCAGTTTCCGACAGTGCCAATAGCAGCGACGTAAGTGCTGTAGAATGTTAGAGCCATATTCATTCGCAGAGTTCACTAGGAAGCCGCTTACCAGTTGATAGCAGAGATGGACGGGTGGTTAGGTGGGAATGTCTGGATGTACCAGTTGGGAGGCGAGTACGGCTCATTGAAGCAGTCGTCAGGCAAAAACTCCAACGACGGGCGCTTGAATCCGGTGGCCATGACGATGATATCGGCTGGGATAACCTGTCTTCTGCCAGGGCCGCCCTTGGGCACGCCTTGAGCGCGTCGGTTGACAATTACACCCTCCGCAGTAAAGCCCTCGATGTCGCAGCGAACCCACTCAGCATGGCCTGATCGGATAGTTTCCATTACATGGCTGTTCACCATTGGCGTGTCCATGTAGATGCCCTTATCGTACGGTGCGATGTCTTGCAAGTCTCGGTAGAAGAATTTGCGAAGAAGTGTCTCTGGGATCCAAGAAAGACGAGTCTCTTGGCCGAGGATGTTCATAGCCAAAAGCATGTTCACGATCGGGTTGCGAGGGATGATCCACTTGTCGCTGCGAGAGAGAATGGAAGTCTTCTCAGCTTCTTCATCCACAGCAAACTCCAGAGCCTCAACGGCGCTGGCACCGCCTCCAATGACGACGAGCTTCTTGCCCTTGGCATTCTTTCTGTGATCTGGTTAGCACGCTTGAGGCTCAAAGTACGGGGGCCATTCCTACCCAGTAAGCTGGCTGGAGTGATAGATGTTGCCCTTGAACTTCTCCATGCCAGGGAGCTGGGGCATCTTGGGTTCACCACAGGTACCGACAGCGGCGATGACACCTTCAAAGTGGCCATTGGCGGTGTTGTTGACGACCCATCTGCCCTTCTCGTCCTGGTAGACCTTCTCCACGGGTGTGTTGAACTTGGTGCGAGTCTCGAGTCCGTATTTCTGCCAGAGTTGCTTTACCTGGCTCAGAATCTGCTGTCTGTCGGGGTACCCGCGTTCCCACTTGACCGAGGGGTGGAAGCGGAACATCATGGAGTGGATTTGAAGACTGGACGAGTTGTTCACTTTCTGCAGGAATCATCAGCATCAGACATTAGAATGATGGACCTCAATGGGCGACATACACTCCAGATCCCGCCGAGATTCTCGCGGCCTCCGGCCTCAAAAATGACCACGTCAAAGCCATGACCAATGCAGTGCGCGGCGGAAGTGACACCCGTGATACCGGCTCCGATGACAGCAACCTTGGGTCGGCTGAGGCGAGTACTGGGCTCGGGAGGGGTAGGCGAGAAGATTTTATCGGCGAACCATTGCCATATCTGGAAGACGAAGAGGAAAGGGTGGAAGAAGGGGTTCTCCACACGAGATTCGGACGGCATCGTGGCGTGTAGGCCGCAAGCCTTGGACGAAGTCGGTGGTGTATTGGGAGGGCAGATACGCAGCAATTGGTACAGCTTTGTGTACCTATGGGTGTTTGTAGTGAAGCGGGAATAGAGAATCACGTAAAGTACTGAATGTGAAGGAAGGGAGAGGGCACGAAGCTGTATTAAACCCTACGTGTACCAAAGGAAGGAGGTCCGCTTGAAAAATACTGTGGAAAGACCGATGAGCCTAGGGAGCTATAGAAGCTCTGGGCAGCTGGCTGGCATGTGAGCTCTTTCTTCCCATTTCCCCTGTGCTAGTGCTGCCGCCGCCGCTGCTGCTGATAGCTGCTGTTGCTTGCTGGCAAGGTGAGGTGAGACTGAGACGGCCGGCGAACAGGCCCACCCGATTATCGACGATTGACGTCACCAAGAACGCTAGGGAACCCATTGAAACGCCGCATTGAAGCATGTGAAGACGAGGGTTCGGCCCAGTCTCGCCAGCAGTCTCCCTAATTGGACACGAACGGGGACAGTTCAGGGGTGGGCTTGGGCCATTATCTGGTCCAATCGTTATAGAGCCCACGCAGTATTTCCTCCAGAAGTAAAGTACGACCCAATGCCATGACAGGAACTTTGTGTGTGTAAAGATACAGAGTGTGAGAGTCTGTGAAAGCTGAAGAAAGTCGACATGGGAACCACGGCCGGACGGGCTCAACATGGCAGGGCTTTGGTGCCTAGTCCGAGAACCAAGGCCTCGGCCGGTTGAGCTGGTAGGGCCGCCGTGGCAGCCTAGAGCTAAAGAGGCATCTTTTCATCGGGAATTTTGGAGATCATTGGCCGATCGGATGCCTTCCGCCTTTTCCCGGTCTGCCCTAGCGGCTGCCAGCCTGGTTGGTTCAGTAGCACTAAACGGTTCAGAAATCCAGGAACACGCCTGATGCGCAACTCATACACAGCACACAGACACGAACACGACGGGGTGATTCATTCTTTTTAGAGTTGGATCAACCGAATTTGAAAGGTTTCCTAGGACCTCGGCAAAGATTTCTCCGATAGCTGCTGCTCCATGTATATTGTGGGTATCTCCGTCTATCGCTTGCCTCTGTCGCGTCTGCCCGCCTCCAACATCTTGGCCTTCTTCTGGAATCTCTCGCCCATTTCGGCCTGACCGCTGCCCTTTGGTCCATCCGTCGTGTCTCTGCCGCGCTTCCGGCTCTTGTCGAGGATATCGCGGCTGCTGCCGCCTCCGCTTTTGCGAGCCGTGAGTCTGTTGATTCGGTCGATACCCTCGCCGAGGTCTCTCCATTCCTCTCCACCGAATTGCATACGCTTGCCGTTGCCAGTCCGCATAGCCTCCTCCTTCTTTGCCTTCTTGCTCGATGTGGGGAGACGGGTAAAGTTTGCTTCTTCGTATTCGCGACGCTCGTCTTCCGTCTTGCGATCCGCGGCAGTCTTGATCCTGCGGCCACCATTGACAATGGTCGTTCCAATACTGGGCTCGGCGATGGGTGCAGTTGACAGCTCGTGCTCGATGAACTCATCCATAGTGTGGGACTTGAGTGGCCGACGGTCAGATTTCTCCTTGCGTTCCGAGGGCATGATGGTAGGCGCAATTCTCGGGGGTCGATAGACACCGTTCTTCGCAGCGGCTGCAACGGCAGCAGAGGCCGCGGCGGGTCTAACAAAGGCATCTGGCCGGGCTTGGAGATTGGCTGCC